GATAGTAGAGTCATTCTTGAGCTGAGAAGTTCAATTATTCATTGCATTCAAAGGCGTAGACAAGGGAGGGGGGTCCAGGGGGTCTGCCCCCCCTTTAGCCTCGTTAGTTGTATCTTTTTTTTACTTTTAGAGGGCAGACATAAAATTGCACTAAGATGCAATTTTAGGATTGACTAATAAAATCTGAATTAATAAAGTGCCTTATAAAAGGGTTAAATTGTAAATTTAATTATAAGTTTATACTTCTTCATTAAAATTTAAACTAATAAGTTTAATTATAATTTTGAAAATTATTACTTTAACTTAACTTAAAATTTTAATGAAGAATAAATAATAAATCAAATAAGATAAGATATTAAAAATACAAATCTTGATAATCCAAAGCTAATAAAATTGCTAGTATATCATTTTACTCATCTGCTAAATATTACAATAACACAAAAATATATTTGCAAATAAAAATAAACTGATAAGACTGAAATTAAAATCATTAATCTTACTAAAAGCTTCAAACCAAGATATCAAAAATAATTACTTACTAACCATTTTATCAAAAATCCAAGAAAAGGTGGAAACCCAGAAATTCTTGAAATATTATCAGGGACGTACACAAAATAATGTTTACCGTCAAGTTTTTGCATGGACCCCTCCCCGCCCTCTTATTAGAGAATTTCCAGCTACGCCACCGATTGCACTTTAGCGTCTGATAGTATCGATCATTTTCAAACGCGGCTGAACTCCAGATCAAATCGCTTATGGTCATAATTGTCACGTTTCAGCCTACCGGCATTTGTCTGGGCTCCATTTCCTTGACTTTGAATCAAGGTAGCATGGTCAAGATCAAGGGTGTTCAGTTTTTGTAGGCTGTATAAAATGAAGAAATCTCCGCGCTTCTCGTCATTTTGAATTTTGAGTACTTCCAGTGTCGGGGAAGTCTCACTCCGTTGTTTTATTTACTGGGGTAATCATCATTTTAAATTTTCTCTTTCAACGATGATTTAAGTTCACAATTTACTCATACCCCTTAGTCGTCATTATTCGGGAGCAAATTGATGAACGACAAAACTATTGAAACCCAAATGTTTTGAAGCCATAATAGTAATTTGAGGAGAGCAATTTTCACACTGCAAAGCAAAGTATCAAACTTAACAAACTTAACAAAGACTCCATCTTAATATTCCAATGCAAACTGCCTGAGCTGAACACTCTCCCCCCTCAGTTTCGTACTGGTGCGCATTAGAGTTCTAAAAATGTATTTTTGACTCTAATTTTAATTTTTGATATTTCTTGGCTTTGTTTCCCCGCGAAATGGTGTGGACCCAGCACCATTTCTCCACCCTCTTACATACACGCAAAGTATCAAATCAACATGATATTTAAGTATTTCGAGAAAAAAAATTCTTATTGTACGGGATTGGCCCCCTTCCCACCCCCGTTTCTATCGAAATGTATTGCACTCATTTGTCTAAAATATCATCGGTTGAATTTCAGAGGATATAAGTATCTCATAGTGCAAATTACGTGCACGAACGAGGGAGCAAGCTTTAGAAATATTTCCGAATTAGGACAAATTCTTATTCCTAAAAATCTTTAAGGCGCCTTAACTTTACACTAACCTACAGAAAAAGAGGAACATAGGTAACGATGCAGTTTAAAAAAAAATTCGGCGTAAATGTTTAAAAAAAAAACCACTAACCAGCGCCATCTCTAAATTTTGGAAATTCTCGTATTTATGCCTGGTGGTTTAAAAGTATGCTTGCCAAAATTTGGGTGTCTATTTTTTAAAACGGATTTGATTAAAACATCGTGTTTCGTAGTACCAATAACTTTGAATTCACAAGTCCTACTGGTCCCCTAGTGGCGAATCATTCGTGAAATACTCCATTTCCGGTTCCATTCAGCTTGTTCCAATGTCAATTGAGTGTCTATTCGTTATCTGTGTCAGTTTGATCGAATTTTTAACGTGCTTCATTTAATAAAAAAATTATAACTTCAAAATTTTATTGTTTTTGAGCAAAATGTGGGAAAATACCATCGCCGTGGAGGAGAGTATCTACTTGAATGAAAAATTTTGGCCGAGAATGATATATGCGGCCATCTTCCTGATTGGACTCATATTAGCGTACGTTTTCAGAAACTTTCGTCGGCCGGAAAACTTTCCACCAGGGAATGTTTGCTATTTTATTTCGTTAATTTTCTCCCGATCCTAGCCTCTGAAGGATCCTAAAATATCCATCACGCATCCTATGATCAGAGCTTCAACAAGTTTGTCTATTTATTGAAGAGCTAGGATTCTTTGAACACTGAAAAAAATTCTCGGCGTTTTTACCAAGGTCCGTTGGTACCTTTACATCTCAGTTTTTTTTAACAATTATTCGTAATTTTACCGAGACCGACTGGTAAGCTTACCTAAAAACCGGTATTTTTACTGCTTTTTTCAGGTAAGAATACCACTTTTATTAGTAATCAATTCCCAGTAACTTTGCCATTTTATATCGGTAATTCTACCACGGTCGATAAAAAATATTGGCGTTTTTAATGGGGTCCAGTAAAATTACCGAGAAAGTCAATAATTTTACCGAGATTTCTCGGTATTCCATAAATGGTAATTTTACCAAGAAAAAACTGCCCAGGTAGCAAGGTCTGCTATAAAATAATTTTTATTATATCTTCGAAATAACAGTTTTATTGCTATTAAATGAGAGTTTTAATTCCTATTAATATATTATAAAAAAACAATTTATATCGGTTGAAAAGATCGATTAAAGTACTCCCCAGTTACAACAGTTTCAGGCGCTATATTCCTATTTTATGAAGTTAAAAATAACAGTTTAAAATAATTTAATGACATAAATCAACAATGATTAAAGTAGTGAAAAACAAATTTCATTTGGAAAATTTACTGGTGTAAAGCGACACTTGTCTTAAAATAAAAATAAAAAATTTAAATGTTGAATACGAGTTTTGAATTATTCTTGTAAAGTATTAAAAAAAACTTAAAATATCCATAGAAAAACTAATTTCTAATAATAGAACGACTCGTAAAATTGTAGTTTTATTGAAAATTAACAGTGTCAATATATGAAATTTTATTCGTTTTTAATATTTTGTTAAACTGTTATTTTTTGGTTTTAAAAGATCAATTATAGAACTCCCCAGTTTCAGGCCTCATATTTCTATTTTGATCACCGATGACGGTGAGCACCGATACTTCCTCTAAGGAGGAGCAACAAAGACTATGCAGCAGGGATGTGACTACACTCGACACACCACACTACAATCAACGCTATAGATAGGCCCATGCCCTGTCTAGGCACAGTTAACCACAGGGGGGTCATCAAAACTGTGAGAAGAAAATCCACTCATATGCACCGAACAAAGCAAACATAGAAGCCGTCGATAAAAAAACGTATGTCGTAGAATATAAATAATATATTTTATGTTTTCACTACACACAAAGGTTAGACAGGCACCATAAACGACCCATCCAAAAACAAAATAAATCGGAGCTCTCTATCGGAAATAAAAGGAAACACCCCGATTACAATAAAACAATCGGAAATTAAAATCGGTATTTAAAAAAATAATGTAATACTAATTTATATTTCACAACTGTTTAAAATAAAATGTTTTGCAGAAAAACTGCAATAAATCAGATATTTAAACTGTCATTTTATCACTATCACTTGTATCTTTTTATCGATTTAAATTATATTTTCCTTGTTAGTGATAAATAGTTATCAAAGTTTTTTATAAGGATTCTTTTTCGACAAAAATTAAAGCTACACCGGTTTTCAGGAAACAATGATTTAAAAATAGTTTCTCACCAATATTGTTTAATAAATAATGTAATAATAATTAATATTTCATGGTTATTTATAAGAATGTGTTTTGCAAAAATATGGCAACAAATGAGATATTTAAATTTGTTTTTTATTGTCTTTTTTTTATCTTTTTATTGATTTAGATTAAATTTTTCTCATTAGTACAGTATAATACTTTATGTTTTGTAAAATAGCTTTTTTAAAACAAAATGGTCTACTTCTGTGTTTTATGAAATCAACTTTAAAAAAAAATAAATTAGAATAATTTTTTTAACTTTTTTTAGTTATTAAAATGTTAATCTACTTTCCTTTCTTTAAAAAAGTTTTGTTAAGTAAGTGATTTTGATTGAGAATTTTAAACCGTCGTTTTATTTCAAATCTAAGTATGTTTTTATTGCAATAATAGTTTCATTTTCGATCGGTGTATAACACTAGTTAAATTTGTGTTATATTTTCAGAAAACATGACTAAATTATAAATTTTCCACTGGTATTTTTTAAGTATGTAAGAAAAATTTTTCAGTGATTATAGTCGCAAAGGACTTCTCTTTTCCGTTGGTTTTTCAACTGTTGTACTAGAGCAAACTTTTCGATGAAAAAGTGCACAAAAGTAACAGTGTAAAAACTGTTGTGAAATTGCAATTTTGAACTGTTACTATTGCTACCTGGGTGGGATCAAATAGAACCCTGAATTCTTAGTAATTTTCCCCTTTTCTTAGTAAATACACCGAAATTTTTTTTCAGTGCGCATCCTATGATCAGAGCTTCAACAAGTTTATCTATTTATTAAAGAGCTAGGATTCTTTGGATTACATTTTGCAATAAGGAACCTCTATTTCTTGCCCATTTTAGAAACAACATACATACCATTGGTTTCCTTATGGATAGTATGTGCTTTCATCATAGAGCCAAAGATAGTGGTTCCTTTTTGCAAAATGTAATCCCTTTGTGGTCTAGTTAAAATATCAATGGCTGGATTAGAAAACTACTATGTGCCTCTTTTTGTGACTTACAGACCTCGCGTCATAATTTAATTTTCAGTTGGGAAAGTGATGACGTGATCTCTTGAAAATTGGTGTTAGTTTCCACTCATCTGATGAAATAGTCTGTAAAAATCTCGAGAAAACTTGCTGCCAACAAAGGTACATCATGCTTAGGAGCACATCTGATGTGATTTATTCGAGGTTGCGATAGCTTTTATTTCTTACTGTGCGTTTAAGTCTCCCAAATAATGTTAAAAAAGAATCCTGACTATCTTTGAATGTTCATGCTGTTCACAAAAATACATCATGCATCGGAGCACATTTAATGAATTTGAGGTTCAAAGCTTTCATTTCTTATTACCGTGCGTTTCAATCTTTAAAAAATGTCAGAGAAGAATATATATACTATACATATACTTACACGTATAATATGAAATCATAAGAGTGAATCGTAACGCATAACGCCTGAAGGTGGAAAGCGGTTAGCCTTATTGCGTAATAAATACTGTTTATAAAGACATAATTACACAAAGGGTAATAATCAGACACGTCATATCGGGTGGAAACTGGAAAGGAGAAGATTTTTCTTTCGCGTAAGTTCAGGTTTCCCTTCTTTGGGTCAATATTGATGAAATTTGATTAATTAGAGCTGGCTTTTTGAAATTTTGCTGCAGTGCAATTTTTCTGGATTTGAACCACATTTGGCTCTCACCTCCTCTCCCCTTCTAGATTCCGATAGTCACAAACAACATGATGCTCAGAGGTTGCGAGGAAAAAAACACGTAACCCTGGGCCAATATTTTAGTTAAAAAAAGGATGAAAGAAAATCCTCACTGGAAAAAAACACACTGGATCTAGAGTCCAGACTCTTGAAAACATTGACAAGAAAAAGGACTCCTGATTCAATCAGATTTAAGCTTAAATCAAAAGGAAATCCGCTCAAATTAATAGGCTTGGTTCTTGATTTAAGCTTAAATCTGATTGAATCAGGAGTCCTTTTTCTTGTCAATGTTTTCAAGAGTCTGGACTCTAGATCCAGTGTGTTTTTTTCCAGTGAGGATTTTCTTTCATCCTTTTTTTAACTAAAATATTGGCCCAGGGTTACGTGTTTTTTCCTCGCAACCTCTGAGCATCATGTTGTTTGTGACTATCAGCTTAAATCAAAAGGAAATCCGCTCAAATTAATAGGCTTGGTTCTTGATTTAAGCTTAAATCTGATTTAATCAAGAGTATTTTTTCTTGTCGATGCTTTTAAGAGTCTGGACTCTGGATCCAATGTGTTTTTTTTCCCAGTGTCGACTATATCTCTGTACCCGTTTACTGAAATTTTGAATTTATATTGAGCGCAGTATAAGAGCGCATAACAAGAGTATTTTTACTGAACTTCTGAGAAGTGGCGATTCTCGCAAGTTGGCAACACAGTTTTTCCTTCAATGTTAAACAATCGATTTTGGTGGAAGTGGGCTGCTTCATCTAGAATCGATATTAACGATGGATTTACACGCGGAAAAAACAAAGTTGCCAATTGATCAGAATCGCAACAACACCAAAGATAAATTGGAGTCGCGACAAAATCAACTGATTGTGAGTATGAGCGTGCAAATTCTACTCCGCGCACTCTTCGTGGATAACAAAGAACGGTAGCAGTAACTAGTAACTAGATTTTCAACTATACATGGTGTCATGGTGATATAGTGATCAGGAAATCTGCTGGCCAATATATGTATGGTTTCTGCCAATGATAGCGATACGTCTTGTTACGTTAAGTCAACACTGACAGACATTTAATACTAAGCTTGCATATAGTTACTACTGACGGCCATACCTAGCCAGGAATCTAATAGCGCCTACCATTATTTTTTTTTTTCGCCTGAGACGGCTAGACTAGTCTAATGTGTGACCGTGGCCTTCCTTGCTCGCCTTGGATGATTCTGCCACTGTCTCCAAAATCCTTCAGATTCTTAGGAAATTAAAATTAACACTCTGATGTAAAAAATCGATTTCGTTCAAAACCTCTAAACGGAAAAATAATGGTGCTGGGCAAAAGACTGCTTTAAAGCGAGTCCTCAGCTTGATGAAATGTACAGAGGCGGATCCAGTGATTTGGCAACACGATTCCCTACGTTTAGACCTATGTTAAATAATCGATTCTTGTCAGGGCACTGCCCTGACAAGAATCGATACATTTCCATAGGTTTAAACGGAGAAAAACAATGTTGCCAATTTGCTGTATCCACCAATGGAAATGTATAACAATCGATGTGTTTGAAATTGTAACCATCATTGAGCTTGTCATTCCAGAAAAATCGAAATTTCCGCCTCATGGTCAATCATTATTAAGAAATTTTGGTGTCGAAAATCATCTTCCAAAATCTTAGAATGAAGTCAAAAGCTCCGTTTCTAATCAACCATCAACATCGATACATTGAAATCTGTTGCAAATTGGAAAAAGTCTTTTCTACTCATTTTGAATTTTTGGAGGAAGAATTTTTTATTTTTCCAAAATAATCCTTATCATGGTGAAAATTTGAAAATTATGGACCTTACCGAGAATGGATTTCACAGAGACATAGTGGATCCTCCCACCCTTGTGATGTGTCTAGAGATTGCTAGAGATGGAAATAAAAGCGTTACGTAATTTCTGCATTTTGCAAGATAAAACAACCATTTTGGCTCTTACATAAAATAAATTGTCTGCACAAGGATCCAAATGACGCTTGTGTAGTTTCTAAAAGAGCCAGAGATACACTGAATAAATATAGTAGATTTTACCATACTCTGACATAGTGATAGGGGTATGGTAATAAACACCAGACTCTATGGTATCATTTACCATACTATGGTATCAGTGGTGTTGCGTGCTTTGCTATATATCGATCGATACGCCACTCAGACCTATGAAAAAAGATCGATTATTATGGTGTTCGCAGCGAACACCTTTGTAATCGATTTTTTACCATAGCTTCAAATGGTGATATATCGATAATCGATCATTCACGCCACGCCACTGTATGGTATGTGTATCACGGAAGTTCTGGTGAATACTCCCATAATTCTGATTATTTTGACTAAATAGCACTGTAAAAAATCAAGTAGACTCATAGTGGATGTTTCCATAATTTTTTTCAGTGTACCAGTTCCTTTGTGCAAAATGTAGTCTAAATGTACCATACGCCTCTCGTCGTAAAATGACTCATAACGTGAACTAATTTTTTTTCAATGTATCAACCCTTTTTCCAGGACCCGAGGGGTTAAGATTCATCGGAAATGTTCCACTGATAAAGCGATTGAGTCGAGAAAAAGGTGGCCTACATCTAGCATTCTCATCTCTGGCCGAGCAGTTTAAGACGTCAATTTTGGGCCTTCAGTTGGGCTCCGATTTGGTGGGTGCTGTCTTTTCGGAGGACAATCTCGCTGCAGTCCATCTCGACGAGGTTTTCAACGCCCGACCCAACGACTTTTTCTCTCGACTCCGCAGTTTTGGCGTATGCAAAGGTGAGCCTTTAGGCAAATTCTGTTGCATTGCACAAATAGGATTTAACCTGCCAAATTTATTTATGAAAGCGCTTGTTTGAATCCAGAAATTAATAGCACGTTTGTTGGTCCTGAATAGAGACGAGAAGCTATTTTACGATACGTGGTTCAGTTTTTGCATCGAATTCCCGCAACCAGAACCGCATGGGCTGTCATGCCTCTCTAAGGAAAAACGCCGTATAACCCTTACCTGCTCAGTGGTCAGTTATACTGACCACCTTTTTAAATAATTATTCATGGCCGTTTTGGCGCGACATACCCTTACCAACCATGTAGTTATACTTGGGATATGGTCCAGAATATGAAAACAAAATATTGCCGGGCGATGTTATGTTGGCAATATTGTTTTATCATCCATTGTTTACCTCCGATTCGTTGGAGGTTTGGTGCCGCCGGTGTTATCTCCAGTTTTGCGGTTGTCAGTTGCTTGTGCGACGCAAATGGTTCTGATTTAGTAGTAAAATATTAAGTTAGACTATAATGCTGCGAGAATGTCATTTGGCAATTGAAAAATTCAGAAGTTTTGATTATTTAATTCATGCTTGAACATGGTGGTTAGTATAACTGACCACCGAGCAGGTGGCTATAGGAGCTGGAACTGGATTCTTGTTGCTTTATTTTTTATTATTATTTTATCAGTAATTTTTATGATTATGTTCATTTCTTTTAATTATTGACCAAAATTATTATTTTAAAATTGCTAGTCTTATGTGGGAAAGGACCATTATCGTTGCATTTTGAAGAAATGAATTTATTTTAGGTATTGTGACTAGTCTTTGATTGCCTCCTTACTTATTCCAGTTACGCTCATGTGTTCTTCACTTCAAGCAGTTTTATATATTTCTGCTTTATTTATACTCTTCTATAATAAATTATACATTTTTCTAAGACTAGCTTCACTCAATTTCGAAAAACAGAGACTCTATCACTTACAAACATGTAAGAAAAAGTGAAAAACTTACAAAATCTACGGAGTCAACATTTATAATTCACTGGTAAAGTTAGTATGGAAGGTAAGAGGAGGTCTGTGAGGGAAGGGTTGGGGGCTTGGAGGGCAGAAATTGAATGTCTTGCGCGGATAGGTAGAGACAAGGATCATTTTTTACACAAAAATAAAAAAACACGAAAATTATATCCACATAGGTGAATAGGAAATTTGCGTATTCCTATCCTGTTCAGTGGTCAGTCATACTGACCACCCTTTTTTGTCAAAATTTCCGGGTAAAAAAAAGTCAAAAAAATTTTTTTTCACTAATTTTGAGTTATCTAGACCCAAGAGGCCTTAGAAAACTCGAAATTTCAAAAAAAAGTTCGAAACCCATAATGTGTGCAGGTAAGGGATAAGCATTCGAATAGTAATGAACTTCCTCTCAAAAAATAGTTTTTCAAAACAAAAATAATTAATATTTTTCGTTGAAGTTATCGGACTATTTAGATAAAATTACGAGCGTGATTCGCATGAAACTGGAAGAAAAATGTATATAAATCTTCCCAAAAATTCGTGATTTGTCAAAGGAAATTTGGCAACGCTTGAAGGTTCATATGCCGCGCCGTTTTTCCTGAACACAGCAGTGTTCAAGTGTTAAGCTACTTAAAGGGGAAGTGGGAGATTGAAAAATTGACGAAAAGTACCGAAGTTATACTTGAACGGCTCTCTTGACTGATTCCGTTTAAATAGAAACCAATTACAATCAAATTGATCCTACAATTAATTATGTGAATAATTGGATTACATTTTGCAATAGGGAACCACAATCTCTGACTCTTCCATAATAGCACCTTTCTGCATAGGAAAATCAATGCCATAAATGTTGTTTCTAAGATGAGCTAGAGATAGTGGTTCCTTATTGAAAAATGTGATCCAATCCTCTCAAACAAAAAGAAATGAGGTAGCAGTTCTGTTAATGTCCTAAATGTGTTACATTTTCAAGTCTTAAGGTGATTCGTCAAGCTCTCTGATGTGGTAGAACTGGCATGCGATATATCGCATTGATTAGGTAAAAAATCTGCCAAAATTGTGGACCTTATCAATGCTAAATATTTCATGCCCGTTCGACCACGTCAGTAGACTTGAGAATGTCTCCTTAGGAACGGCTAGGCCTAGGTTACATAATTTTTACATTGTTACTTTCTTCGAAGTGGGTACGAGTATGAAATTAATTTCCGGTTAATTGAGAGTATTAGATCATGACGGCTGTGCCTCAACGAGTGAGGTTAATTATGAATTGAGTCGTGTATATTATTACACAGATAAATGCATAACTAGAGCGTTTAGCTGAGGATAGGGGGATCCGGATTCTATTGCTCCTACGGCGCACAGTGGATCGAGTCAATTGGAGAGGTCGGACAAAATTTGAAAACTTTAAACGCTTCTAACTCCGTTTAAACGATACTTTTAGGTTCTCAGAGTGATTTCATTGGTTTCCGCGCGAAATTATCTACCATAAGCACCCCTTGAAATGTAAAATGTGACAAAATAAACATCAAAATTTGCAGTTTTAGTAAAAAATTTCATGTCCGACTTCCCTAATGAACTTGATCCACTGTGCGGCAGGAGGGAATGTGGTGATTATTGAAGACTCTCAAGTGTGAAGGGGGGTTCGGAGAGTTGGAAAATTTTTAAAAAGTATCTTTCGGACTCGATTCGAACAAACCTCGATGTATTTCAACAAGATTTCGGAGGTGTCGGTGTTTGTCGGCTTAAAATATAGCCTTTTCAGCAGGTTCCTGATATAACGACAGTGAAACTACCAAACCACGTAACTCGTTTGCGGTGTTTAAAAATCTACGCTCACATTTTATTTTTTTGAAGTAGACCAAATCAATATCATTCCTTGAAATTTTCACAGAATTTTTCCCGCACAAAGAGGAAAAATCACAGAAATTTTCAAGACTGGACGTTAAGTAGTTTTTCATTTAAAAAATAAAGTATGACAGGAAGTCTGCGACGTCGCAAACCGAGATACGTGGTTTGGTACTTTCACCGTCGATAAATAGTTTCTTAAAGAGTCGAAATTCAGATACATTTCCATAGGTTTAAATGGATGATATACAATGTTGCCACTTTGCTGGAGCCGCCAATGATTATACATTTCTCCTAATCGAAACTCTGAATCATCAATATTCTAATCAATACCTATATCTATGTAGGAGTCACATTCACAGACGGTGATTTGTGGCTGGAGCACCACAAGTTTGCACTCAAGCACCTTCATCAACTGGGCTTCGGCAAGGTGAAAGTGAAGAACCTCATCAAAGAAGAAATAAGCCATTTCGTCGAGCTCCTCAATAATCAGAGGGACGATGTCTGCATCACTAAATACCTCGCACGTTTAGGTCAGTGCCTTTACAATTGAATCAGTGAGTTCGAAAACACACCAACTTGGAAAAAAAAATTGTTCAGGAGACACCTAAAACTGCGCAGCGGGCGAAGAAGTTAGTTTAAGAAAAACCTTTTTGGTGCCAAAAGACAACTACTTAGAGACTTTGTAAAGCACCAAGTTGAAATAGATACACCATATGTTTGATGACAGAGAATCAAGCGTTTAAAAATTTCAGAGTTGGTGTGCTTTCGTTCTCACCGACTTTCAGATACTGATTTTTCATAGCCTGCCCTGAAAAATGTATATTGTTCGACCTGAATAACGCTTGAATATTTATATAACTTGATGGTACAAGGTATACTGAACCGAAAAAAGAACACTGCAAAATCGGATAGTCACCCGTTTCTCTTGAAATGGCCAAAAATTGGTATTTCCAATGAAATACTTCGATTTTTCCCTTTTCCCGTCGCTGTTTCGAGTTTTTCTGATTGCAATTACGAAATTTCCTTTTGCGTGCAGATGCTTCTAATAATACTTCAGCTCAATAAAAACCATCAAGTGAACGTGCCAGCGGGGGTGGGGTGCATAAGACGCGTTTACTCGTGTTGGAAACATTTTTTGGGAAAGCCCTGTCAATACTTCTAGCAAAAATTTACCGAACTTTGCGCGAACGTTAAGTTTCATAAACCTATCTCTGCGTAAACAAGGCCTTCCATTCATAAGAAATGAACGAAAAAATTATGAAGGAACAAACATAAATGTGGTTTAATGATTTTAACTTCCGCCGTCGCGCCGAGCAGACAGCACCGTGTTTGACGCAATGCGTGAAGTATTCACGCAGTCTTATAGGCGCTATGCATTTCACGCTGTTCGCACTGTGTTTGGCGCAATGCGAGAGGTATTCATACATTCTTGTAGGCGCTATCCATTTCACGCTGACCGCAGTGACCGCACTGTGTATGATGCAATGCGTGAAGTATTCGTGCAGTCTTGTAGGCGCTTATATGTGTTACATGCCGACCGCCGCGCCATGGGGTTCTCCTTTTCGTCTCAAGTCCTCGTCATCATTCCTCTCTGTCGCGCCGCGCGCCGTTCCTGGCCAAATTGCGTGTTTGGTCTCTCTCTTAACTCGATTAATTAAAGGTGCTGTCTCTTGTATCACCGAAAGACGACAAAATTAGAAATTACTATACTCTAAGGAAATGAGAGATTTTGTTTGTAATTTTCTTTCTGAATCCGATTTTTTTATACCTACACTTAAAAAAATTGCAAAATTTGCCGCCTCCTAGATTACGACGGTGAAACTACCAAACCACGTATCTCGGTTTGCGACGTCGCAGACTTCCTGCATACTTTAATTTTTAAATGGGAAAGTACTCAACGTCAATTCTTGAAAACTTCCGTGATTTTTCTCCTCAGTGCGAAGAAAATTCTGTAAAAACTTCAAGGAATGATATTGAATTGTTCTCCTCCAGAAAAGTAAAATGAGAGCGGAGATTTTTAGACACCGCAAACGAGATACGTGGTTTGGTAGTTTCACCATTGATTTGCCGCCGTGGGCCACGGCCCATGTGGCCACCCCCTTAATCCGGCCCTGGTGTTGGTTTGACCGATTGAACACGCTTTTGCAGTTTAACCCATGTACATCCTGTACTTTTAAACAGTCAAGCAGCTTTTGCACCAACTTTTTTCTTATCCACTTGGGTGTTTTTTTTTTTTTCAAAATACTTTCCACGTGTATTTTGGATCTTCATCCCTTCGATATTTGCGAAAAAGAGAATAAACATTTCGTCCAATTTCATCCATTTGAGATTTTTTACTGGCTATAAGAGCTCAATTTCTCGGCAGTGTTGAACGTGCTGTGGACGGTGGTGGCAGGCACGCGTTTTTCGCTGGACGACCCCAAGCTGGGCCGGCTCCTGGAGTTGATGAATTCACGTTCGAAAGCGTTCGATTTTTCTGGCGGTCTCCTGAATCGATTCCCGTGGATGAGGTTCCTTGCCCCCGAGAAATCAGGATACAAGCTCATTTCCAACCTCAACTCGGAACTCCGCAATTTTCTCATGGTTGGTATACCTTTTCCGATTGCTAAACGGTCGGATTTAACCAAAACTCGTCCACTCACGTTGGAAGTTTGAAAAAAGAGGTTATAAGAATCTTTGTCCAATGTTTTTGAGTCCTATTTCTTTTGGTCCATTTTCAGGGTGTCTACAGGTCTGGAATTTCCGGAAAGTCCGGAAATAGCACTGATTTTTTAAGGGCGGTCCGGAAGTACTGAAAAAGTGCGGAATTCCGCAAGAAGGTTCAGATTTTTTTTCATTTTTTTGTCACCTTTGTCCCAATTTGAGCGAAAAATTTCAATTTTTGAAATTTTTCGAATTTCGTGGGATGGAGGTTTTGAAAAAGTACTGAATTTTTCTGTGGAGGAGGTACTGAATTTCTTGGGAATGTACTGAAAAAGTACTATAAAAGCTCTTATTTTTGGCCAGCCTGTTTAAGTAGACACCCTCATTTTACATTTTTGTCCAGTTTTTAGTTTGGTCTAAAAGAAATTAATTGGACTAAAATTCTCTAGGACGAAAAAAGTTGGACGAAAATTTCTGGAACCAAAAAAGACATGGGTGTGAAGCCGCATGCGAAATTTGAGAAGGAGGCTGAACTGCGGGCTGACCGTTGAAATTGTTATTATTGTTACCTCTTGTTGATAAGTCGTTTATTTTTCTTAGATGTTTGAGCTTGTGTCAGTTTCGTTGATAATCATTTTTGATTTATTGCAAAATAAAGCTTTGCTGATTCACTTTATCTTTGGGTGCGATTATTTTGGAAAAAAAAAGACAAAAATTGATGCTTTCTTTTCTACAACAAAATTTCAGGATGAAATTGAAAAGCACAAAGGAACTAGGACCGATGAAGTTAGAGATTTCATGGATTTATATTTAAAAAAAATTGACGCTCCCGGAACAGACAAAGGCATATTCAATGGTGAGAAATCTTACTTTTGTTATTACAATAATGCATGTGCACGTATTTCGCGTGCATACGCGAAGCGTAACACCACTGTTGGGGAAGGGGATTTGAACCTCCGTTACAAATGCGTTACGAGGGAGAGACGACGACGGTCAGAAAGTGGTAAAATTTTCGCAAAGCAGCGATTTCCATGCAAAATTCTTTACGAAACGCCAGTTTGAGAAGGAAAAGGGGCCGTAAAGAGCGTTACGTAATTTTTTTTGGGTTGGAGGGCTGCATAACTAAGTATTACAGGTACGGTACGTTATGGGGAAGGAGGAGTAAAAAAATTTGATTTGCATCATTACCTATATCATGCACGGCCCCTCTACTCCTACATCTCTTCCTTTTCAAGTCATTGTCCTGGAGTTTCATAACCTGGAGCCCGACTTTTAATTTTCCAAAATAACTCACCCGGTAATTGAAAAGAGGGTTATAGATAAGAAAATCTTTCACCCACCATGACATTCTTAAAATCAGCAATCGTTCACTCATTGGAGGTGTAATATTTTACGGAATTCATCATAATTTTTTTCATTTTTGGTCGCCTCTCGGGTTGAATACTAGACTAAACATGGATCTGAAGCAACCATGTGACTTGAAACGTGAGAAAGAAATGAAAGATTGGAAATGTAAGTGAAACATTTCATGAAATTTCACGAGGCTGTGAAATATTTCATATTTTTCAGGGGTTGGAGTATGCAACCTGCACTCAAACACACAAAAATGGAAATAAGTCAAAATTTTTACATTTCGTGAAACGTGGAAAGGGACCGGTATTTTTCAATATCTTTCATAAACTGAAGTTTCATGAAATATTTCACATGAAATTTCAAGATTTTATTTTTCATGAAATTTTGCCACCCCGATCTGAAGGCTGCGACGGTCGAAACATGCGGGTTCTGTGGTTTCGCATTCGAATGTAGAAAAATTTTCATTTTTCACCCTTAAACCTTCAAACTTCCAAATCGGCCCTCATACGCATGTAAAGGCCAGCGTGAAGCCCGAAAAGTGACCGAAAATGACCAAATCATGATGCATTCCGAGATATAAAGACCTTCCATAAGCATAATATCAGGGCCCTTTTTGGGTGGGCCCAAAAACGGTCATTATATGTAGATACCCCTCCATTGAAGAAAAATCCACCCACCCATGGCCTATGGCCCATGGGATGCATTCCAGGATCCACATATCGTCGCTCCTCTAACGTAAGGGTGTATCACAGTTTCCACGCGAGCCCTGTTGTTCAGATACCTTCATGCTTTTTGGAGCTCACTGAGAAACGGAGATACGCCCTTACGCCAGAAGGGCGACGATACTATGCTTAGAAGTGGATCCAGCAATTTGGCAACACCGGGTTTCCTCTATTTACACCTATGTTAAACAATCAATGAAGATATTGCATGTGTAAGGAATTTGCGATTTGACTGCTAAATCTCATGTAAAAGTTCGCGAGAAACACGATGGTGCTACTGGTTTTCTCTGAACTAAACTCCCAAGCTCAAAAAAAGCTCTCAAGTCGAGTCCAAAATGGAGGGGACATCCCACGCTATCCTGAGAGTCCACCTCTACATCAAAACAAACTCTCCATGCAAAGATAGGGAACAAATACATTGACAGGGCTGCCACTTTATTTGGGGACTCCAAAACTAAAAACACGGCAACCCTGCTAATGTATTCGCTCCCTATCTTTGCATGGAGAGTTTGTCTTGATACAGAGGTGGACTCTCAGGATAGCGTGGGATATCCCCTCCATTTTGGCCTCAACTTGAGAGCTTTTTTTGAGCTTGGGAGTTGATTTGAGAGACAACCAGTGGCACCATTGTGTTTCTCGCGAACTTTTACATAAGAATTAACAGTCATATCGCAAATTCCTCACACTTGCAACATCTCCATTCTTGTCGAATCACCTGGCCTCTCCAAAAATCGATACATTTCCATGGGTTTAACGGAGAAAAACAATGTTGCCAAATTGCTAGATCCGAAAATGATTATGATCACTGTCTGCGTCGTTTCAGAGGACCAACTGGTCGCAGTGTGCCTGGACTTCTTCATCGCTGGCTCGCATACAACTAGCGACACTCTGGGTTTTGCGCTACTGGCTATGACGCGGTGTCCCGACGTTCAAGGTAAAGTTCAGCGGTGTTTGGACGCTGCAGTTCTGCCAGGAACGGCTCCCGACTTCACTGAAGAAAAGGGGTAAACAGTTATTCCTACAATCATTTTGAAACTAGGGGGCGCTGCCCCCTGGCCGCTACTCGGTCATCGAAATCGTCCTGCCCATCAACCGTCTTACTCCCCTTCCTCACCCGGTCCATCGAGCGTCTTAAGGTGATTCGATGGACGCCATTTTTTTTTGTCAGAACGGCATGCGATATATCGCATCAATTGGTTCCATTTTCTCCTAGCTATTCGTCATTTTCCTCCAATTTTGAGATCGCAATTCTGTTGTCAGGAGACTAAAGCACTCACTTACCAATTTTAACAAAGAAATTCAACGTAATAAAGGCGTGGTTTTTTTAGAGAGAAAATATCGCATTCGAAACTGCACTCGGCCCTGCTGTTGGTTTGACCGATTGAACATGCTTTTTTGACTGTTTAAAAGTACAGGATATACATGGGTCAAACTGCAAAAGCATGTTCAATCGGTCAAACCAACACCAGGGCCGAGTGCAGTTTCGATATCAGTATCGAATGCGATGTTTTCTCTTTAAAAAAACACGCCTTTATTACGTTGAGTTTCTTTGTTAAAATTGGTAAGTGAGTGCTTTAGTCTCCTGACAACAGAATTGCGATCTCAAAATTGGAGGAAAATGACGAGTAGCTGAAAAAATGGAACCAATTGATGCGATATATCGCATGCCATTCTGATACAAAATATGGCGTCCATTGAATCACCTTAAAAATGATTTTATTTGCGATAGTTTCCCACTTTCGAACTTTGAAGGATATCGGAGTTACGTTTGTTGCCGACTTTTTTTTATTATTTAGAGGTCAAACGTGACATTTTATTAGTACAAGGATGGGTTTATAGTACAAAGCTTGGGTTTTATCAAACGGTTAGATATTGTCATTATCTTTTTCTTACATGTCGGTGTCACTCAAAACCGTGGATTTAATTCCGGGTTTTGGACGAAATTTAAGATATGCAAGGGAAATGCCAGACAAATAAAAAATACTCGCTCGATAGGGTTAATGATCGAATCAGTGAATTCTTTCCGATTACGGGGCGTTATGCAAAGCCAGACGGAAGAAGGTCGGCACTTGCGCGACGCGACCGATTTGACGCGACGATGGACGTGACGTCGCTTATGACGGCCGCGAGCGAGAAGGTGGACGCAGTTTCGATCGGAATGACACGGTCTATAGATGGAAACGTGAATCGATTAACTAGATCGATCGCGAATTTGTCGATGAGAAATAATGTAAAATAGACGAATACCTTGTAGTCACCCTATGCTTTGTCACCTTGTCTTCTCGCTGTTGTCACCAGGGACCGGTTATTTTTTAAATATATTTTTCAAACAATGTTATCTGCCACATGGCAATACCAACAATTGGATTGCATTTTGCAAAAAGGAACCATACTAGCATTGCAATGTTGCTGAGATTGAGATTGAGAAAAATTACCATCTAAATTTCATAGTTTTTCACAATTTCCGCAATTTTATTGCAAAGGATGCACTGAAAAAAATATGCCGGTAGATTTTACCATCTCTGACACAGTGATACGAATATGGTAATAAACACCAGACTCTATGGTGGCATTTACCATACTATGGTAAGAATCACCAGAGTTCTGGCGAATACTACTATAATTCTGGTTATTTCCACTAAATAGTATCACTGTGTAAAAAATCAAGTAGACTCATAGTAAATGTCACCATACTTTTTTTTCAGTGTGAAGTTGCACAATTTTAGCATCATTGCAATGCTAGTGGTTCCTTTTTGCAAAATCCAATCCAATTTCACTACATTTCAGAACAAAAAGTATTAGAAATACAACAGAGTAGTATTATTTTTTTTACTGTTGATTTTGACAACAAGGGACCGGTAGCTCTGTTTTTAGCTTTTGTTTATTTAGATTTTTTAACTTTTTCTTTTTCGACGGTTGATAGTGACCGGGAGGCCGATCGAAACGTCCCGCGTTTTGTAAATTATTGCGTTTTTCAGCCTCGTTCCCGCCTTTTCCTGTCCTATTTTATATTTTTGTACACACAAAGAAAAAAAGAAAAAAAGTTGGGTAGCATTTACCATACTCTGGTTAAAAAGCGGCACAACCAGACAATATGGTAACTTCCATCAAAATTATTGTCACTGTAAGGTCAAATCTTGCTACTTTCACGATAATTTTGATGAAAGTTACCATACTCTCTGACTGTGCCGTTCACTAACCGGAATATGGTAAATGCTACCTAATTTCCGTGTAGTCACAATATACATAATTTTAAAAAAAATATTTAATCTAACTGAAAACCCTGCGATTAAGTCAACAATTAGTATGGATTTGATCAAATCATGTCTTTGTCTATCGTATTACAGAATTTTCGAAAGATGACTCGATCACGATGACTCAAGCCCATTATCCTATTATATGCACTTACTAATGAAATATTAGGGACAAGAATCCCTGGTAAAAATTGGCGATAAGAGCTGCGTTTCAAAATACCGTAGGAATTCTTATAGCCGTCTAAATAAGGCTCCAGAAAATCATATAGCTGGCTGTAGAATGCGGAGAAAATTGTACGGCCGGGCGGCTATACAAAGCCATAAAAAATTATCCAGCCGGGCTATAGTTCCTATCGCCGGGCTTTACACTTTATCGCCTGGCTGTTGCTTTTTCGCCATCGATAATTAAAGACTATAAGAAATTGTGTAGAAATTCGTGTGCTTTGGAAATCATTAAGTTTGCTGCGGAACCACCTTCATATTTACAAAACACACATTATATTTTCCTTTAATACATATTTGTTTTCATCGATTAAAATGAGAATAATCCATACAGGATGTGCAAACACTTCAAAATCATGAGTTGAATAACGCTGACTCCGCCAGATTAAATATCAGAGCCGAACACAAAGCGGAGCGGCGACGCACTGGCGCCCGCAAACCTAACTGGGATATTTCACGCATTGCGCAACGCGTGAAGTATCCCTGTTAGGTTAGTAGGCGCCAATGCGCTGACTGCCCGCCTGCCGCGCCGCAGCGTGCCACGGCGCTTGAAGCAACTATTTCACACCGGAGGTATTGCAAAGTATCATACGAAACTGAAGGCGCACTAATATATTAGGTTTGGCAGGCATCCATCAAAAGTACGGATATTTCCTCGCAAAATAAATCAAGATATACTACGGCCTAAAAAGAGAGCAGTGGTCCAAAAACTCACTAAGTCCTAGCATCCGTAATTAGTAACGTTTAACATACACTTTATCGCCTGGCTGTTGCTTAATCGCCATCGGCTATAAAAGGCTATAACAAATTGTGTAGCCGGCTATAGAGGCTATTGGAAATCTTACAGCCGGCTGTAGGTCTATGGTATTTTGGAACACGGATTCTACTGCCAATTTTTACCAGGGATGTCCCCAATTTCAATTTTCGCCCTCGCATGCTTTCCCACATTTAGAATTAATTAGTTTTCTTCAGAATTTAATCATTGCCCCGTTAATATCGCTCTGATTTTTTTCTTTTCCCCTTTTTTTTGCCAGAATGAACTACGTGTCTGCAGTACTTCTGGAGGCGATGCGCAGCTGTTTTGTGGCTCCGACGTCCGGGCCTCGTCGCGCCACTCGAACCACCACGGTCGGCGGCTACACCATTCCTCAGGTCTCTGCCCTCTTTCATTCTATGCCTTCCAGGGCTGGGAACCCGAATGGATTTTGGAACCGGTTCCGGTTCCGGTTCTCATGGTCCAATGATTCGGGTTCCGGTTCCGGTTCCGGTTCCGGGGGTCCGAAGATTCGGGTCCCGGTTCCGGAACCGGTTCCACTCGGGTTCCATGGTATTAGTATTCGCGAAAATAATTTAATTTTAAAGTAAATTACTCAAAATGAGAGAGAGTTCAAAACTGGGCAATTTTAATGAAGCAATCAAAAATGATTAATTTAGAAACAATAATTTGAATCAAGCAATTGAAAATGATATTACTTAAGCATACCGGAGCAACAGGATACTTTCCAGCAAGTCCGGCGCGATGCTGGCTCTGAGGGGGGATAGAATGAACGCTAGGCCCGAAAACAGTCTTTCAACACTAACCTGCGTGGCAGGAGCTGATAAAACCACCTGAGCAAGTTTGTACAATACGAAGTTGGGATGAGAATCCGCCTTCTTTGCCTTCCAATACAGCATGGGACTAGCATAATTCTTCAGGTCAACGGGTCTCTTTTGAGTGCTGTAATTTTGCAGGATGCGCTTAATTTCATCAGAGTTTTGAGGAGTCGTTTCTGCTGAAGACGCAGTATTCTTCGTATTCCTCCTTGTGCTGCGTTCGGACATGCTTTTTTAAGTTTGTTACATGATTCCCTCCTATTTTTTCTTTGCAACGTCTACAAACTGATTTATTTTCTTCCTTGATGTAGTCAAAAAAAATTCTAATACTTCCCATTTTACTTTTTAAAATTCCACTTCACTTAAAATGAGTTCGCTCAATTAAATTGATTTTTCACCGATAAAAAATTTGTTACAATTTCCTTGGATACGGGGCCGTCTCAAACCCGGCGTTGCTGCAACATCAGCTGTCACGGAACCGATACGGAACCCGTGTAGGAACCCTGTTCTCGGATTGTGCCCCGGCGGTTCCGGTTCCGGTTCCGGTTCTGAAGGTCCGAAGTTTCGGGTTCGGGTTCCGGTTCCGG